TAATCAATTCAGCAGATTTTTCCATTGTTGTATATATAAACACTTTTTCGTTTCAACAACTATGCAGCACTACACTTTCAACAACTATGCACTACAGCAACTATGAGCATTGTTGTGATATCACCAAACTTAAATATTAGATTATGTCGGTAGAAACAGACTGCGGTGCTTTAAGTTTATACCTTATATCTCTCATGTGACTACCTGCGTTGTTATATAACTGCTATATAGCAGGTAACTTAACGATTATTTTAGGCATGCCTTAAATAATCGTTAAGTTACCTGCGCTATTATATGTATTCACTTGAGAGATGAGGTATAAACATATATGCATATTGCTTACTAATGGACACACCTAATACATAAAAATAAATGAATGATTATTTTTCTAATTAAATTAATCACAAATACATGAATTGAAATCTTTTCATGAATAAAACATACTAAGTGATTTTTACTTAGTTTACCTGTTGATTTGGAACAATTTGAGGGTGGTTTTATAGAAGTTGGATAGAGTGTATGCATATATTATAATACAATCCATCACAGGAAAGTGCAAACCATGCTGAGATGGCTGTTCCTCATTAGAACGTTTTGTTCTGAACTCTTATTGGACGATTTGCAGGTAACTTCTCTGTACCCTTTTCAAATGTTAGGCTAGATTTCGCCCAGATTATCGAAAAGTATACCCATAAAGTTTAATCGAATTTTAATAAGGTTGTGCGCGTATTACTATTCGACTTTGAGTGAAACACGCTAAAAAAAAATTAACATGAAAAAGTTGTTGTTCGAACAACTTTTTTTCCTTAAAAGCGCCCACTTTGCGATGTATGAAGAAAAGTTAGGTAATTATATTGCCTTTCATGAGAAAAAATATCAAGCAAATCTGAGGGGTACTATTTTTGGGAAAATGACTTTTAATTTTTAAATATATTTTTTTAGAGTGTAGAAACCGATTTTTTATTTTATTTAAAAAATTTTATAAAATTTCAGATTATTTGCTAAAAGTTCGCCATACATCACTTTTTTGTAGGGCTTGTCATTTTTAAGCTATATCGATTTGAAAAAAAAATTGACAAAAAACTTTGACCCTTATCAAATGTTAGGCGAGATAAATTTTGAAAAAAATAAGTACGCAAAGTTGCTTAAAATTGCTAAGTCTCCACACCCACAAAGTTCCATAAGGTTCTGAGAGGGTGCTGCCAACCACTGGATGAGTTGGCGTGAAATCCGTCAGATGATACTGTGTTATTCATTGCAGCTAAGGATTTAGATGATGCCGTTTTACACTTGAATGAAGATTTGCGTTCTCTAAGTAGATGGTTGAAGTATAAGCAGATGAAATTGAATACAAGTAAAACTAAATCTATGGTAATTTCGCGGAATCGAGTAAATGAGAACGTCTCTGTTGTAATTGATGATGAGACTATTGATCGCGTTCGGGAGATTAAATATCTTGGCGTGATTATTGATGACACACTTAAGTTCAACTCTCACATTGACAATGTCATCAAGAAAATTGCCAAGAAGTATGGAATTCTATGTTGACTGAAAAACGATTTAACTATTGCCAGTAAAATACAGCTATACAAATCAATCATCTCTCCTCATCTTGACTTTTGCCCTTCCATTTTATTTCTGGCCAATGCAACACAAATATCGAGATTACAGCGCTTGCAGAATAAAATAATGCGTTTGATTTTGAGATGTAATAGATTAACTTCCTCAACTTTGATGTTAGACGCCTTACAATGGTTGTCGGTGAAGCAAAGAATTGTATATTTGACTATGGTGTTCATTTTTAAAGTAGTTAACGGTTTGCTGCCTCCATATTTGTGTGATCGAATTGAAAGATAATGTGGATGTAATACTAGAAACGCGGTTGAAATAAGAACACCACATTTCTTGACTTGTGCTTCACAAAATTCATTATATTATAAAGGAATAAATGTTTTCAATTCGATGCCTAGACATATCAAACGTTTAGCAACACTTACAGAATTAAAAAAAACACTGCATTTCACACGTTAAAACTGTCCTTTGAACAGTTATCCAATGATTTTTTTTTTTTATGAATTGACAAATTATGTATCTTGACGAAGTTATCTCTAACGGATTATTTTATATGGATAGCTGTCATAACGACTTTTTAATAATTATTGTAGCACTGCAAAAACTTTTTCTGTTCGCCATGGTGATGATGGATTTTTAATTTTTTAAGATTTGATTAGTAGATTAATTAAAAAAAAAAGTAGTCTACGAAGGTTTGAGCCTCACGCGCGTATTACGGATATAGAGGACTGAATTTAACATTTGATAAAAAAAAATGCAATTTTGAAGCTTATTTGAAAGATACCCTGAGTTAGTAAAAAAGTTTTCTGGCAAATGTTAGGGGTTCGGAAGCATTCCTGACATTGCTGAAAATTATGATAGCATCAGATTGCGGGGTTGCTAGTGTAATAGGATGCTTTGTTGATTGTGCATTAACTCTTGATTGCTTGTAATACTTATGAATATTTTAGGTGGACAAAAAGGTGAACTAAGAGGTGGACGCCTGAGCTTTTCCACATTTATATCGCTGTGAAGCAACTGTAAATTCTAGAGGGAATTTATATCTGTAACTGAAACCAGTTCGATTTTGTTTGCCAACCTGGTAAAAATGTCATATTCAATTATCTTAAAGATAAATCATCCAGCTCAAACCTTTGTAGGGGTAAGAGGTCATCATCATCATCATCATCATCACCTTAAGTTTTCTATTTGATCTCAGACTTTGCTCAGAAGACTTATTATACGACACATCAAATAACAACTATGTTTCTGTTCTAGTGAAAAATGGACTTCCCTCAGGGTTTCCGGAACCTGATTCGTAGCTACCAGTTAGTTTATGAAACAGATCCTAGAACATAGATTTTTCTCCTTAAATACGTATGGGTGTTTTGTATAATTAATATTTCGGTTGTGTATTGGCGGTTGTGAACCTTGAGAAGTAAGAATGGTACTCATAAATATTCAGAATGGTTTTATTGTCCTCTTGCTGTTTTACAAAATAATTTTGTTTCACATAACTGATTAATCAATGTGCTCGTAACGAGAATTCTCCGAAACATATTGCGCTAAAATATTGCGGCCTTCAAATGCAGTCCGAGGAGCAATATGTCCTCGACTAATTGAATCAGCGGAAACACCTAGTAGAGGATCAACATATAAGCGCCATTCTCCATCAACCACATTTCCTACATTGTCGATTGTATCCGTGAATCGTGGCGGAGCGTACTGATGGTTACTGTGATTTTTCAAAAAAATATACAACACCACTACAGCCTTGACAATGTTTTCTGCCGACTCTGGTGACATGAACAACGGTGACTTCAAAATCCTCCACCGTGCGACAGTGATCCCGAAAGTGTTTTTAATTGTGCGGTGAGCAATAGAAAGCGTTTTATTGAAAATTTCTTGAATTTGTGGTAGATTCCTCCCTGGGAAGGCCAAAGTGCGGCCCGTGGTCCGCCGTGGTGCTTGGATCTCTATGATGCAATATCCTCAGCTTGATTTTCTTTTCTTTTGAATGTATGGCCGAAATGATTATTAAATACGCAAAACTCAACGTTAAATATGATCATCGAACAAAGATACATCTATTGAAAAAAATAGGCATGAGCACCACTGACTTACATCAACGTTAAAAACAGTCGACACTCCGGGTTTATTGGCTTCCTAATCGAATGCTTTTCCAAGTGCGCTTTCAGAATCAGCAGAAGTTTCTCGAACGTTTCTGGATTCATCCGAACTGACCTGACGAAGTACTCGGAGTCCTTTTCCTTCATCAGGGTGAAAGCTGTTTCATAGAATCCTTTCAAAAAACCATAGTTTAGCGAAACGAAATAAATTATGATGCGAATTACCTTCACTTTCCCGCAATTGATTGCACGGTCTCACCCACCACCGACGATGTTGCGAGGAAATATCCTGCAGATACCTCAGTTCCCGCACAGCCTGCACAATTTTCACAATATTTTCAATGCGTTCCATTTTTAACATGAACACAGGACACTGGAAACACAGGAAAACTCGAGAAAACTAGTTCAAAAAATACTTTTACGCAATGCGGCTGTCATTGTGTTCAGCCCTTTACTCATAATAAAACAAAACTAGTTCCAGCTAAAACTGTTCCCAACAACCTACGAGTTTTAACGGGACGTTATAGGAAATCAGTTCAACAGAAGATCTGATTTGAATTCCTAGATGATACAAAAGAGATTTTATAGGAATCTTGAGAAAAATGAATAGCAGGTGAATTTTAAGGAGGATTTCTCGATGAACATTTCAAATGGTCCTATCTGCTTTGATCGATTCTCTTCATCGACTTTCTCTTTTCATAACCACTGTTATGCAAACAGATTTCGCGCTAATTCTACCACATAGTTTGATAAAGGAGGTTCTTATCTAGCGTCCAAATCGTCAAATACAACAGGGAAAGGTTTTGCAGCTGAGTTATTGACGAAAGAGAAAGTCGATGAAGAGAATCGATCAAAGCAGATAGGACCATTTGAAATGTTCATCGAGATTTAATGACTTTAAAGCTGGGTTTAGATTAGGCAAGTCAAATGATCAACTCAGTTGAATTCAATTGGCTTGAAAAGTTGAGCCTGGTTCAACTTTTTTCAATTCAAGTGAGTTGATCAAGTCAGTTGAATGGCATGGTTTACACGTTCAATTCGCGTTCAAGTCAGTTGAATTCAACTGACTTGATCAATTGACTTGCCCTGTCTAAACCCAGCTTAACTGTTTTCGGCAAACAAAATTTAAACGTCAGTTTCACTGAATTTTCCCACACAATTTTCACACTTCGCTGAATGTATTCTACCGATTTCTTAGCCTTTGAGCTTAAATCAAACTTGATTAAATTTTACGACTGAGCAATCTTGTTATGCCAGAAGTACGGGAACTATGAGTAAGACGGACAGTTGATGGTTTGGCGGCACAACTATTGAATTATTGGGTTTTGCCACAGTCACTACTAGCATACGATATTTGATGCATTTCAGAATAAACAACTTGGTACGGGAGCTGTCAAATGTGAAATACCGTAAAAAAAATCTGGTATTAACAGAAAAATCCTAAGGGTGTCCACCTTAAACCCAGTTCCCCTTCGCCACAATAACGGAAACCACTTCAAAACGATAATTAGATCGAACAAATAAACAGTATTATGCATTATTTTTCAAGTAGCACCTTTGCTTTTTATTACTTTATAAGCCATTCCTCCCCGTGCTCCAGTCAGATACCGTTTTATCATTTCGGTAAATACCGCACTCAACAGTCTTTGCAGTTTTCATAGTATCCCCTCCTCTCGGATTCCTCCAGTAACGTCACCAGCGAATCGAGGGTCTCCTCTCCGGTTGGAACAATCTTACTGGCTGGCAGAACGAATCCATTCCACGAGTTACTGCCAGGTCGCAACTCATACGTGTAGGCGATTTTCACTCCCAATGTTCCGTAGGCCCAATCAACACTGGCACCGCTCGCCGGGTAGATGGCATCGTAGATGTTACCGTACTTGTACTTGGTTCCATACCGCTTCGCCAAGGATGTGACCGTGGCTTTGGCAATTTCGTTCAGGTCGTTGTGATTTGGAGTATGTGCACCGGTATGTCCGTAAGGGAACAGAAGAAGCTGGGAATATGAGTGGAATGAGATGTAGGCTTGTATCTTGCCCTTCAACGATGCAACGTACTGCGACAGGGTTTTTGTTTCGACTTCAGAGAATGCGTAAGGTCCTCCATAGGTATCGGCTTGGCAGCGATTGCTTGTTCCCTGTTCCGCCCAATGGAAGTCCCAGTTGCGGTTAGGATCAGCCCCGAAACAACCTCCTGAATATGGAGTACGAGTTTTTCTCCAAAGACGATCTTTCTTGTGGGTGTAGACGTAACCATCAGGGTTGACGCTCGGGAAGAAATACCAATCATAGTTTTCGGCAATTCCTCGCACCTTCGGATCTTGACTGGTGAGCAATTCATTAAGAATGTATGTGACCGTAGCAGGAGAAATCCATTCACGAGCATGTATACCACCTTCAATGAAGACACCTGGATTACCCGATTTGTACGAAACTTTGACTCCCTTGATCGATCGGTTCTCGAACGAATGTCCACCTTCAACGACCTCTACTTGTTCGTACTCAGTAGCCAATTTGTCCAACCAAGCGTGAATATCATCTAGCTCATGATAATCCTGGAAGTCAAATACACCCTTCGTACGCCTGGACTTCATACGATTCCTTTCCTGATCGATCGACCTCTGCATGTTCTTATCCACAATTCGAGCGTTGATTCCTTCGTTCAGGAGAGCTTCCGTAAAATCGGCCAACTTATGTGGTGCCACAACGATGTTGAACTTCGCACCGGCATGGCTACCGCTTTCCAGGAAAATCAAACTATCACTAGACTGCTTCAGCTCATTCAGCAGCTTCAGCTGGTTCTCGGACGTGGGGATAACTTCGTACACTCTGTAGTTATCATAGCGAGCAACTTCGCTTGCATACGTCGCACCGAAGAATAGACAAATTGCCAAAGCACTTCCTATCACCGTAAGCCTCATATTCCTAAGCTACCTGTTACACACTAACCTGCCCAAGGCCAGCCAGCCACCATTTATAGTACATGTCACGCATCGTAAAGTGGAAATAGTTGTCTTATCAGTCATTTCCCTATCGAAGCTTTCCCTGGACTTACTCTCGCCGAATGAGCTTGGGCACTTGTAAATTAAACCCACTTTGGAATGATCAGATGACATGGAGGGCTTTTTCAGTCTCTAGTGAAACTTATGACCACTCTCAACTTCATTGTTGATTGCGTTTCCAACCTGGAAAGGATAATAATTGCAAAGGATGATTTTCTTCGCCTAGGGGATTTTTTTACTGGACCTGGAATCGAATCCACCACTTCCAGCATTACATGCTTTGTTATGACATCGCTCTTCAAACAAAGCCATCGGAAGGAAGGTGTACCTACTGTGACGATAATTCATCGTATTTCACACGGTTCAGTGCTTAATGAGAATCGTTGGCATTTACTTTGAACTGTTATCTACTATTCATAGCGTCGGTCTTGAAAATGGCTGCGGGAATTCCTGGAGGTTTATTTCTTCATTTCATTAGTTCCCTGTCTACTAGTGTACCGTAAATGTATATATAACAATTGATGTGTTACACGCATTACACGGAACTACAGTGCGTGTCAGGACAACAGAGCCACCCCAAATCATATTGTCATTAAACAACATTGTATTTGATGCCATCGTTCCTCAGAATTACAGGTAATTTTAATACAAATTTCTTGAGATATTAGTGAATATGTAATATTGAATGTACCTCACTGAAAAACTTGTTTGACTCCAACCTTTCATAAAATGTTTCCCATAAGTGATCAGAACACACACAATTTCACAGGAAATGAAAATTGTAACATTTTACGCAAGTAAAATTTTACATACAATATAGTAATCGAACATAGCATAGTAGCGCAAATGTTGTAAAGCGATTTGACCACAGCTCCTGTTCGATATGCGCTACTTTTGCATTCTTCTCGGTACGCCTGGCAGCGCTGCACCCGATCATTACCAATATGCAATGTATTTCGATCCCACTAGCCGACCTCTGAGAGATCAATAATATCAGTTTAGATTTTGCTGTCGAATTGTCAAGCTGGGTTTAGACAGGGCAAGTCAATTGATCAAGTTAGTTGAATTCAATTGGCTTGAAAAGTTGAGCCTGGTTTACATGGCATGGTTTACACGTTCAATTCGCGTTCAAGTCAGTTAAATTCAACTGACTTGATCAGTTGACTTGCCCTATCTAAACCCAGCTTAAGGGAGAGAATGTGCAGTGTAGGCTGTTTCCAACAAGGAAGTATCATGGCGTTAGGACTTCTGAGTCGGATGGACTCTCGGGTATCGGCGTAAGGGAACAAGAATTGAGGTATATCTCGACTTGTGCCAATATGTAAACAGGTCCTCGTAGGCCTAGGCGAGTAAGAGAGGTTACACAGTCGGAAGAAGTGTTAGTTTGTTTACTAAAATGAAACATGCCCATTTTGTTATGGCAAGTTTGCTATAAGAAATGCTCCTCGTGTTTATTAGCGAAATTCACATCAAAGATTGATTAATTGCGTAGGAAATCAGTTTGGCACGGCATTTGTGACCAGCGTACACCTTCCGGTCATATGAAACAGGTCAAAAACCGTCCAAATTCGACAAAAAAAAAATTTGTTTTGAATTTCTGTATGGCAAAATAGTGAACTTTTCGTGAACATTAACGGCAAAGAACTCATCAACACTGGGAGACCGTGAGTTCCTACCCACCTGTCACTTTCCATCTCGCTCGTAGGCCGGAGGAGGTGATAAATTGACGTTCGGATAATCGGTTCCGGACATAAGAACCAGCAAGTAAAATATTCCCTAGAAACCACCCCGAAGACGAAGGTTCCGTCCATAGTCGATGACGAATGTTGCACTCGGATTTGGTAACGAAAGCGGACAACGATATCACAAATAGTGAGTTAGGTTTGACGTGAAAAGTAAATTATACCGGTTAATCAAATTTTTATTCAATTTCAGCACAACGTCGATATCATGTTCGTCAGCGTACCACGACCGGATATGAAAATTCAAACATGAGTAATGCAATGCAATGAATGCAAAGGTGGACAGATGTATCTGCAAAAGCTATCCATCCGGAATCGATGTTTTATTCGGTATTGTTTTTTTTTAGGCAGCATTGAATGCAAGGAATAACTGTTCCTGTTCGCTACGATAACCCCCCTGTTGATGTACATGAGCTCGACTTTCGTAGAGCAGATTTCGTCGCGCTGAGTCACTCGCTTGCCCAGGCAGATTGGCAGTTCCTTGACACGTGTTCATCTATTGATGAAGCCGTCAACTACTTCGCTGAGGTCGTTAGCCGGGCAATAACTGATTCTGTCCCATTGAGGAGATCCTCTCCCAAACCCGCATGGTCCAATGCTCGACTACGGAATTTGAAGCGTCTGAGATCGAAGGCTCTCCGTAAATACTGTTATACTCGTAACCCATTCACCAAACGATTATTTTCTACAGCGAGCAACGAATATCGCACATATAACCGCATTCTTTACAAAAGCTACACAAGGCGTGTGCAGGCTAATTTACGGCTTAATCCAAAGCAGTCCTGGTCATTCGTGAATACCAAACGAAACGAAGAGGGGCTATCAGTCGAAATTCACCTGGGTGATAGAATCGCCAGCAATTCCCTTGAGAAATGTAATCTTCTGGCAGAACATTTCAAAAGCATTTTCAATGACACTACGGCTTCGTTGTCCCAAGTTGCTGAAGTGATGAAGGACACTCCCAGTGATGCTTTCAATTTTTCGATTACCTCGGTTAGACCTCGTCGAATCCGCCATCAAGAAGCTGAAATTTTCTAATGCTGCTGGCCCTGACGGGATCCCCTCAAGCATCCTGAAGCGATGCTGTTCAGAGCTTACAACACCGCTTTCGAAGCTGTTCAATATTTCATTACAGCAGGGGGAGTTCTCTACGCGTTGGAAATCGTCATTCATGTTCCCGATCTACAAGAAAGGAGACAAGAGAAACGTCGAAAATTACCGAGGGATCACATCACTCAGTGCCTGCTCTAAAGTTTTCGAAATCATCATCAACAACGCATTATTCTTTAGCTGCAGAAATTACATTTCTCCTGACCAACACGGTTTTTATCCCAAGAGATCAGTTTCAACAAATCTAGCTCCGTTCATTTCTTTATGTCTTCGGAGTATGGAAGCTGGAGCGCACGTGGACGTTGTATATACAGATCTTAAGGCTGCATTTGACCTGCTTGACCACTCCATACTGCTAGCTACGGGTTTAACTCGTTGGTTCAAGTCCTATCTGACCAATCAGGAACTTTGTGTTAGAATCGGATCAGAGCAATCGGACTATTTTACAAACAGCTCCGGTGTTCCTCAAGGTAGCAACTTGAGACCATTGCACAGTGGTCCAGAAGGGTGTTTTTCAGGTAAAAAATAAAAAAGTGCATAAAGATGCAGTTTAATCAAGTTTATGTCTTCAGACAAGTTTAGATTTGAGAAAAGGCGCATCTAATGAAGGGGACGTCCATAATTTAAATCCCTTAGGACAAAAAATTAAATTTCTAACTTTTTTTCTATGTGGTTTAGAAAAATAAAATCTTCCACAAAGTTGTAGATCTTATCATTTCCACAAGCTTTGCTCAATACATCCATGGTTTAAATCATCGTTTTCATTGAGATATGAAGTATTTTTTAAGGAAGGTCCCTTCAAATCGTTTTTTCAACCATAACATTTTTATTTGATTTTTCCATGGCATACTATGTTTGAAAGAGTTTTTTCATTTACCAAAACAAGCAACTTTCTAGAATACTTCAACACGCTACCTCACAAATGCAACATGTTAAGAGTGTTTATGTGTTCAAAACATACGATATTCTGGTGGATAATTTGCAAATTGGGGCAACCAGTTTTTCAAACTAATGACGTTATCAAATTGTACGTGCTTTGATGAATATTTTCATGTAAAAATATTAGAGGTGAAGTTATTTTTCATTACAGGACAGCTAATTTAAAATCATGGTTTTTAGCTCAATTTTACATAAAATTGGCTCTTTGGCGAACTAACTTTTATACATGGTGGGTTTTGGATCAAGTTCGGTTCTGGTCACTTCCCCGGGGGCATCCGGGAAATGCCCGGAAGTGGATAATGTGATCATAGATATTAAATATGGACACCATTGATCTTGTTGTTGGATTTTGATGTATTTTGATGTGTCGGTTTCGCTCAGGTCATCTTCTCTGTTGACAACGTTTAGATTTTTCCCGCACGACCACAAATAGGATTGGGTATTGGTACATGTCGTGACAAGATCCAGATGCACGTCAAGCATGTCATATCGTGTTAACTTTATTCAACAGAATGATATTTCGTTTTTCCTTTCCTTTTGGAACAACTGGAAGCTCGATACCATTTAAGGCCCCCGTCTGGAAGTATTATTGATATTATTCCCTTGCTGGAATTTTTTAGAACATCTAGGAAAACCCGCAAAAATGAGCTGGAAAAATAAGCTAATCGAAAAATCGAAGCACACTACGTTCTAGCATAACTTTCTGGCAAGATGATAGTTGGAAAATTTTTGGGAAAATCCAACCCACAAAAAAACTGGGTTGTTTTTCCGACATGAAGACCACCCAATTCCGGCCACGTGATTGCATAGGTGTAGACACCATGTTCTATCTTTCCCCTCTGATAGCTCGTGATCTTTATTCTAAAGTACCAGATAATTATATACTAGAAGATTCGTGAGAATGTCAGGAATCTTTTGGTGTAATCCAAAGTACAATTTTCCGACTTTCCTCGCATCGTTTTTCCATTTTCATTTCATGCATACCATTTTCCCGATATACCGGTACATGGCGAACAAGGCATGGGAAAGAAAAAAAACTGTACTAAACACGAATGCGCGCGAGGAGCTTTCGGCTCACATGATTTTTGCGGACGGCTGACTGAAGCATGCGACTAGTGGTGTCGTATATTTAGCAAAATATAATTCAAGTTGTTGATAATGAA